ATATATATATATATATATATATATATATATATATATATATATATATATATATATATATTTATATATTATAAAAAAATTTTAGGACTGCCAAACTTAACATGTTTACCTAAGATATTAAAGCAGCAATTTACCATTGACCAGACAGCACAATAACACATTTACCAAATTTGATCAAATTTTTTTATGTTTGTTTATGTTGTTTTAGTTTTTTTGTTTAGTAAGGACTGTTAGGAAATCATGAGAGTAATGATGATTATTTTAAATTGTTTAGAGAACTATTTTTAACAGTAAGAAATACAGTCAAAATCTGCATAAAGTTATTTTTTTCCTTCAATAGTGGATGGGAAAAATTTAATTGTCAACATTTTTTCAAATTGTCATTAATTACTACATCACTAGTCAACTGGCACCCATGTCATTTCTGTTTGAGACCCCCGATTTAAACCTTAATAATAGATAAAAAATGTTGATAATAATACAAGGTGATTTCTAAAAGCATTACCAGCCAACTGGCCACTAACTTATATTTGTTCACCAAACTAATTGGCTTCAGCACTTTGCACTTATTAAGTATTAATTCTAGATGAATGCACCAGTGTTTAACAGCATTGGCGTTGATCACTTGTTCTGTCAATAGAAAATCAGCACCTCATTGAAGTTTTGTTGTAATTAATGCACGGTGTTACTGATACTGTAAGATTTGAGGACAAATATCATTGTATTAATCATATAATGTGTCGTTTCAGGCATATGTTGTGGAGGATAACAAACAGCTGATTTTAGAGGGGCAGCTTCACGTTGCACTGCAAACCATTGGCAAAGAGGCCTGCTCGCTCTCGCAGAAAGAGGTACTACACATACACACTATCTCACAATGACTCTCCCTTGCTATTCAGCTCTTTTCCTGTGGGTGCTTTACAAATGTGCATAAATGCAGAGTCAGTCTATAAAGAATATAAAGTCACTTGCTTAAGTGCAAGAGACCACTGTATCTTTTCAATGAGGCTTGGTAAGTATATACTTGAGCGAATGAGCAAATAATATTTTGTGTGTGTGTATGTTTTGAAGTGTCAGTTATTGATAGACCAAGATGTCTTCATCTTAATACACTCAGGTTAAGCACTCAGTTGGCTGAACACAAAATAAGTAGCCTTTTTTTTTATGATGCTTCCTTTTGCCTGTAGCATTCAGTGTCAGTAAAAGACCCCTCGTGGCAAAGAACCTAAACTCAAATAACAATCCTCTGAACAGAAGCTTTAACTTTAATATGCAAATGGTGTCTAATTTTTGGCCTGTAATTTTAATGTCTTGTCATCTGACACAGCAAGAAAAATGTCTTACTCATCCTGCAGCAGTCAAACACGCTTGATAGCATGAAAATTCATTTTAGTGAATTAATTAATCACCGACTGGCTGTGATAGACGGTTAACTCAAGCATTGATAATGCACTTGAGCACTGAACTAACACACTAAAGTGCCCACTGAAGGTGCACTTTAAGCATTCTTTTCTGATTGAGTAAGCCAGAGATGAGACCAACACATCATAAACGAGGTCAAAATGAATTCAATTCAGGTCTGTGTTTATCTCTCACTGTAGCTCAAGTAATGGACATCTGTTGACACTCTCGCTGCAAGTTGCTTTTACGCGTGTCAGAGCATTGATGCTTTTGCAGTGCATGGGTGGTCATGAAGGCACTTTGAAGAAAGTGATAAAAGAAATCATTTCAGTCTCCTGACCTTGATATGTGGAGAAACGTGTACGTGTTCTCTGACTTTTTTTATTAAGAAAGGTGAAGGTTGGAAGGAAAAATTCTTTGGCGCTCACTGCTCAAGGATGAATAAAATGGAGGAGATGGACCTTGAAGCTCATCATTGTGTGTGATTTTATTGGAGACCTGGGTACTTATTGTGGAGGAAAAAAAAGTAGTACATTACACTGACGTAAACAATCAAAGGGTTTTTTTTTTTTCATTGCTCTCCAAGGATTTCTTTTGTCGTAGGACAAAAACATCTATAATGTTTTACATTTGTAATGTTCAATGTGTGGTCCCATGCTTCTATTAGCCTATATAAGACTGATATCACAGTGTGTTAAAGGGATAATTCACCCAAAAATTAATATTGTCATCAAAACTTTGATGCATCAAAAAGTTCATAAAGACATTGTGAAACTAATCCATATGAATCAAGCAGTTTAATCTGAATCTTCTGAAGAGACACGTGCTTACTTGATGCATGAGAACCGAAGAGGTTTGTTCTTGCGTGTAAATCAAGTTTGGTTGCGTTTCCGCTTACCATATTTGATGAGCTCTACAGTATGAATGCACGTTTATCAATGTTTATGTCAGTAAAAGTCTAAACTAAATCTGTTCATCAAATAAAATTATCAGGTGTCTTCAGAAGACTTGGATTAATGTGGATTACTTGGGCCTGGGCGATAAAACGGTATCGGTATTTATCGACGGTACCCCTTAATCAATACGATAGAAAACATTTTCTGTATAGTGCACGATATAGGCCTGTGCGATGAGTGACAAGCAGACAAGCCAATAAGTTGTGACATCAGAGATGAAGTGGAATGGAATAAAACCCCTACAATTCCCGAGACAAAAGTTGAACCTCTTTTAACTTTACATGGCTTTCTATACATCTCTTGTGTGAGACGCTCGAAAATGCGCCAGCTATGTGTTCTGTGTGAATGATCTTCTCCATATCGAGCTTCTATATTTCTCTAGTATTTTGAATAAAAAAACGCAGCAGCGGCGCATCTCTCTATGCTTCAACTTGATAGGTTAACAAAAATAATAAACTACAACAATGACACTTGCATCATCATCATCATCATCATCACCACATCTTGTGCGCCACTGATAAGGCTCCTGGACGCACACATCAAATGCACCGTTTTTGCATTCGAATATGAATTTTTATTTTAAATTAAAAATTGTATTTAAAATCTCCTTAAAATTTTAACATACGTTTGTGAGTTCTGAATAAAATACAATCTGTGTGATTGGCGCTTCGGCTTTTTGTATTAAGCTATGCATAAATACATGATGCTGTTTTGTTCATAATTGCTTATGCAATTTACGAAATTATATTTGATTTATATGTTTTAGTTTAGACTTCATGCACTTTTTTAATAGTCATTATTTCATTGCATTGAATAAACAATTTAATGCGGTGCATTATTTCGCTCATTGCGCCCTACTGTGGCTTCAGGAGACAGGCCAAAAAGTTTCTTTAACATTAATCTGCATATAAAATATAAGAAATTAGATATTTATTTAATTTTATTTTGTGTTTGTTAAAATTGTAATAATTTGTTGTTTGTCTTAATAAACTGGGTAAATTAAAAATACAGTGGTTAAATATAAACCTTTTTTTTCTTCTGCTCCGTTTAAAAGGTTCTACTTTTTTTTTTTTTTTTTCCAATAATTACAGATACTGACTGATATGAAACATTATATCGTGATACATTTTTTAGCTATATCGCCCAGCCCTAGGTTTGTTTTTTAACTTTATGAAGCGTCAAAGTTTTAGTGGAAAGAACCTTAAATGGAAAGACAGAAATCTCTCAGGTTTCATTTGTGTTTTGAAGATAAACAAAGGTCTTAAGGGTTTGGAATGACTTGAGGGTGAGTAATTAACTTAGTAATTAAGACTTAATTTCCTTTTTTGGATGAACTACCCCTTTAATATGCTTATGCTCTTTGCAAAAACTCTGAGACGTTCAATAAATTGAACATTTGGTGGGTTTTAACACTTTCTCAGGGGTCTCAGAGCAGTTCACTGGAATATGAGAGTCCTACAGACAAACTCAGACCTCGAGAGAGGGACTTTTTTTTGGCTGTTGCATCTTGTCTTTTTTTAGCATCGGCACCTTGCACTTTGTGTTTATCCCTTTCTGTTTCTCACTTCAGGATAGTCAGTTTGGTTTGTGAGGTGTCTGGCCTCGAATACAAGCTAAATACACACAGTCTTCTGCACTGGCTCTCGTTCAAGTCTTCCTCTCATAATTCGACTTTCTATTTTCTCCATCTGAGACGGAGTGCAAGAGCAATGTGACTTTGAGAGCATTATAAGTGAGTCTGCTCTTTATTAAGATGGATGCATCCTAAGGTGCTTTAAATGGTCAGAGAGCCAGACAGCAGAGACTCTGACCTTCGTTTGTGTCTGCATTTGGATCTGCGTGTCACCTTTCCAAACTAGAGGTTTCTCTGTTTGAATATGCAGATTAATATTCAGATGTTTAATGTTTACTTGTGATGTGTTTACTGTGCAGAATAATCTTGCCTGTTGTATGTCTATAATGGTGCAAATAAGCAGCAGAAAAAGCAGGACTGTGTGGGTGTGTGTATGTGTGTGTTTTTCACAAGTATTTAATATGTGGTATTAGCAAGGTGAAGGAATCAGAGCGTTCTGTGTGGGTGTTTTGTACAAAGTGACAGCTCTGCTGATTTGACGACTACACATCGAAAAGTGTGTGTGCGCACATGGATGTAAGTGTAGTAGACGCCAAGTATGACATTGTGTGTTAAAATAGCGATTCATTTAGAAATTACTGTTCTGTCATCATTAGGGATGCACCGATATGAAAATTTTGGCTGATACCGATAACCGATAATTCTTTATTTTTGAAAGCCGATAACCGATATGTTGGCCGATAAATCTTTGGTGAACATAACATGCTGAGTTTGAATATATGGAAGTGCAAATGTAATTTGAGAGTTATGCCACATCACAAGATTTTAGTATTTTAGAGTTGCCAAAGCTCAATAACTTTTCATATATGTTTGAAAACATGAGATTGAGTAATTACTGTGAGTAAATATTCTGTCTGTCCAAACTGTCTCTCTTTTGGTTTCCAAATGTTCCTTCTCCATTTCAGCTTCTCATTCATTCACATTGAGTGAGTAATTACTGTGAGTAAATATTCTGTCTGTCCAAACTGTCTCTTTTGGTTTCCAAATGTTCCTTCTCCATTTCAGCTTCTCATTCATTCACATTTTCATTTGCTCTGTAATCCATTCATTTTTTCCTCCGTTTCCCTCCTGCTGTTGGGCACGATTCCATCCAGTCTGAAATCTCTCTCTGCACGCCGTTGCATAGCAACACCCATTCATGGCAGAGGAAGTCCCTCACGTGAGGGAATGATGTCACACATATGTTGATCTCAGTCTTTTTATAGAAACCCTCACGTGAGCTTGTGCTTTTCTCTCTTTTGCGTTCATCCTGTCTCATCCACCCCGTTCCCCTCACTCAGCCACACACGCACGCACTTTAAACCAAATAAAAAGCTTTCGTTAACAAAGCAATTTCCTCTGTTGGAGCAATTCCCTTAAGCTTTCCGAATGAAACAAACTTATTATGCTTTTTGTCAATTAGGAAACTCAGGAAATGGTGCTTCTGAAGTTCAAGCCTGACATTCCTCCCCCTGTAAGCAAGCCCTCGCTGGAACAGCTTTCCCACCTCATAAAGACCTGTCTCCACTACCCAGAGTCTTATGATCATCCCTTCCCACAAAAGAGGTAAAGTGCACACAAACAAACACTTTTGAAAAGCTCAAAGAGACCTGAATCGGTTAGCCGAAATCCACTGACTGTGTTTCCGAGGTGATAAGACTCACACAGACGCACAGTAATGTTCTCATGCCCAGTGACGCCCACAGGAGCGCTTGTCTGGCCTAGTTCTGCAGTGGTGCGTGGAAAGTAGGTGTGTCCACATGAAAGATGGAGATAAACTGGACCGGGTCGAGCTGATGCGCGGTCCAAATGCTCAGTCATTACTCATTGCCTTGGGTTTGTGCGAATGTGCTCTCAGAAATTAGTTTGTTCGTTCTGAGGAAAAAATGCTAGTCCTCAGTCAACGGCTAAAAAACTCACTGAAATGTAAACCACAATGGAGATGAATTACTGTTCAAAGAGCACACAAGTAACATGAACAAACCCCTTTAAAGTTGACATGAAATGGAAATTCTCTCTGTTTTCGAAATTCGTCTTATTGATCTTATAGTTAACAATTCATCCATGTGTTTCATATTTTGACCTAGTAATACTTAATCCAAGTGTTTATTTCGGTGCATCCCTATTAAAAGTATATACATTTTTATTTTTTACAAAATGACGATCGTTTCGCTAGATAATACCCTTATCCCTCAGCTGAGACCGTGTAGACCCCTTTGAAGCTGCACTGAAACTGCAATTTGGACCTTCAACCCGTTGATCCCTGTTAAAGTCCACTCCACTATATGGAGAAAAATCCTGGAATGTTTTCCTTTAAAACTTTAATTTCTTTTCGACTGAAGAAATAAAGACATGAACATCTTGTATGACATGGGGGTGAGTAAATTATCAGGAAATGTTATTCTGGAAGTGAACTAATTCTTTAAACACTTAAGTACATTTACATAGACAACAATATTCCGATTTTAACACGATTAAGAAAATACTCTGATTAAGAATCTACCATGTAGAGATTTTTGATTACCTTAATCCGGCTAAAGTCATAGTCGAAGTAAACACAAATCGAATTAAGACATGTGGAGTATTCTTATTTTAATCACATTATTGAAGTGCAGTATAGACATGTACACACCTTAATCACACTATTACCGTCGTGTAGGACTTTTTTGCCGTATTTTGCGACAGGATACACACACGGCAGTGGTCAACCGTTTGATGGCAAACAAAAGAGCATGGCTTCAACAACGCCGTCATCTGTTTGCACGTATAGCATGACAAATAATTAACTGCACTTGAAGCTTTCAGTAAATTAAAAATGAAACACCCAAAACATGGCATCATAACGAAGACGAACTATGTTTATACGTGAAATTCTGGAGGGGACGTCAGATGGCGTCGCGTGGGGACATAATGATATGTGCCATTACTCGATCTATGTACTATAATGGGAACATGAAAGGAATATTCTAAAAGCTTATTTAAAATAAAGTAAATAATTAGATTACTGATGTCCATGTAAATGTAGACACTGAAGCAAGAAATCAGCATTTACTAAGAAGAGAAAATAATGAGGAAGTAATAACTTCAAAAACACTTTAAGGAATGCCGTCATAAATAACCCTAACAAACTGTATTAATCAAATTTGACAATGTCAATTGCTAAAAGTTCTTGCCTGTTGAGTTTTTATCCTAACTGAACACAAGCTTTAGGACATTTTGTTGATTTGTTGCACTTGGCTGGTGGCTGGATGTGTTGTATCCGGTCACGACAACACACTAGCTAGAAAAAAAATGGTTGAAATAACATTTAAGTTTAATAATAACTTAAATACTTTAAATATCTTAAAATTGCAATGAAACCAAAGTAGAGACAGATCTTTTCTTTCGTATTGGAAAATAAGAAACTGTAAGGAGGGATTCGGTTGATTAAACTAATGATTTAAATGATTAAACTAAATGATTACTTGAGTCTGACATACATCACCAGAAGTTGTTTTTACCAGAAAGGTCAAAGAAAAAAGAAACATATACATGAATGAGTCATGCAAAATAAGATGTTCAACATGCCTTTAAAAAATAGGCTTCATTTGAATTTTAATGCCATCTTTACATGCTTAAAGTAATTGTTTATTGTTTTATTTATTTTGATTTTAATTTTAGGTAGGGATGTAACGGTATGAAAATTTCTTATCACGATTATAGTGACCAAAATGATCACGGTTATCAGTATTATCACGGTATTGTTCAAATGTGCTGGAGATGTTAAAAAAAAGTACAGACACATAAATCACTTCGTTTTAGATTTAAAAATCAACAAACAGCAAATAAAATGATTTTTGTTTGCATAATCACTAAAACAATAACATTACCAATGATGTTCGGATTTTAAATGACAACTTGACTGACAACAGTTTAATAGCATGTTGACATATCTAATGTAAATGTTCAAATAAAGCTTTGAAAAAGTTTAATAAAAAGCTAAACCTCACGTTTCAGCCTTTAAATAAAGAAAAAGATATAAGTAAAAATGATAACTGATTAATAAATGATTATATGTATCTTATCTGCTCCATAAATAATTCTAGATAACTTATCTGAATTGTTTAAATGTGCAGAATCCACATAAGCTTGTTTTTCATCAACCGGTCAAAATTTACAGCAGGGCATGCAAATTCTGTCCGTTTTTTGGCCAGACAGAAACCGCACACAGACTAAATGTAAATATAAGTCTCTGTAAATCCACTCGCTGACAGCAGGTGGCGCTTGTGGAAAAGCAGAATTAGAGCTGTTTCCCGTAACCTCCATGGACAAAGCAGTATTGCGATTAAGAAGACTTCCTTTATGTATTACATGGAGCGAAGATGAAAACAAAATGCCATTGAAGGTTCTGACTGTCTTCAGAAACGATTCGGAGATACATTCATATAATTAGTTCATTCATATATTCATTTGTATAATTCCCTTAGCACTCTTTTAAAACCTCCCAGCTTTTACGCCCTGTTTTCACTCAAAACGAAAATACTCTGCGTGCTGTGCGCACCTGAGACTGTTACTTAAAACTGTGCTTTATGCTGGACAGTATTTATTTATCGCGAGTTGTTCAAATTGCGGTAATCTAATACGTTTTTATGATCATGTTTTAATGATCATGACGATAATCATGATTTATCGTCAAACAAAATTGAAAACCTAAAACCGGGTCAAACGCATCCTACTGTGCAACAGCACTGCCATACAGAACTTAAATTTGCCAGGAAATTGAACCAAACATCTTGTAGCATGATGAGATGAATGTTCCAGAATCAGGGGGTTAGTCCATCCATATTTGTGCTTCAGGACAAATGACTTAAAGTTGCTGCACACCAGTATGGGATTAACAGAAGTTATGAGACCCATTGATCAAAGTAATATCCAGATGAAAGTCAAGAGTGCTGTATTTTACATCACAAAATTGAATAAAAATTGAATAATCAATTTTGTCTGGCTTAAAAACTTGGGCACATGTTTGAGTGCCGATACGAGGTCATGAGGAGACGCAAGTACTGATGTTTTCTATTGCATATTCAAATGAAGTTTGCTTTTGTGGAGGATGCACAAAGCATTGCTATTTCAAGAATTAGACCTACGTCTGAAGATTTGATGTTCCTGACATTTTCTTTTTCCTTCTCTAGTTTATGTATGGTTCCAGTCACCCTGACGTTGTCCAACTGTTCCTTGGCTCAGGTAGACGTCATTGTTGATCTGCGGCATAAAACGACCAGGTACAGCTCAGTTTTTCCTGATCCCAAAATCTTTGAAATATGGAGATTGAACTTACAAGCCATCTCACACTCTTGTTGTCTATCTTTGCAGCCCAGAGTCACTGGAAGTGCATGGTTCTTTTAGCTGGCTGGGCCAGACCCAATATAAGTTGCAGCTCCAGGCTCAAGAGGTATACAGGCTTTCCTTGAAAGCTTGTTTCTTCCAGGCTGGAGTTTATAATTTGGGCACACCCCGTGTCTTCGCCAAGTTGGCACAGACCAGTGCTATGTGTGAGACCAGCCAGCAGAGCGCCATGCCTGCCCTCATTATCATCAACAGCGTTTGAGGAACTCCGCAACATCGATCCAACCTTTCTTCAAAGTTCTTGGCCCACCTAAATAAATGAAATGGACTGGACTCCAAGATTTTTCTACTTGTTGCTAAAACAAAATCTAATTGAGAGAGATAAGTAATTAAAAAGACTTGAACACACGTTTCAACTTAACACTGCATCTGATGTGCTTGTACGGTCTATAATGGTGAGCTAAACACAAACAGACTTTAGATGTTTTGTCTTAAATGCACCTGAAGCGTGACTGGATCGGTTTTTTTTCCCATGTAAATTTATCTCTCATGTCAACCATGTATCTATTGAAGAATTTTGCTTTTGTTTTATGAAATCTTTTTGCTTTTAGAACTAATTTTGTCAAGATCCCAAAAATGTGGTAATGTAAATGGCTATGCATCTCTGCCTCATACTGCCCTGCCGGCTATCTCACGGTTGTCCACTGTGCTCTGTTGCCACAGTAACAAAAAAATAACATAAGGACAACATGTTCACTTCTGCGTTTAAAGTTGAGTGTGTGCTGAGACCTGAGACAGTTATACATTAATTTATGTCTATTTCTTTACTATCTTTGAATGCTAGGGGGTTAAAAAACAGTGTTAAGCGTAAAGCAATTTTTTTTATTTTGCAAGGAACAAAAAGCGAACTGTGTTTTCTTACAAGAGACTCATTCTGCTTTAAATGATGAAAGATTTCGGAAAGTTCAGTGGGGTGATTTAGCCCTGTTTGCACATGGATCTTCACATTCAGCTGGAGTGATGGTATTATTTAACAGATTTGAAGGCTCTGTAATTGTTCATAAGGGGACACAGAAGGCCACTGGTTAATGATAGCAGTAGAAATTCATGCCAAATGTTATATATGACTCTGTATTTTTGGTTATAATAACAAAGTGGCTAATAAAAAATGTTTGAGAAACTTGGTAAATTGGAAAAAAAAAGTATAATGCAGAAAATGCGATAATAGGGGGTGACTTTAGTAAAGTCCCTGATTTATGGCTAGACAGGAGACCTCAAAGAGGTGCACATTCTGTGTATAATGATACTATATTGAATTTCTGTAAAACTGTAGATGTGGTTGATTAATGGAGGGTATCTAACCCAAACAGCATTCAGTATACATGGTTTAACTCCTCAGGAAATGGACAATGTCCGAGATTAGATTATTGTCTTATTTCTTGTGAACTATGTAAAATTGTCTCGGAATGTAAAATTACAGATCACTGTATGGTTACTCTGTCCTTATCAGTCTTTAAGAAACCTCAAATCTCTCCTAATATTTGGAAGTTTAATAGTGACTTGTTAAAGAATTATAGATTTTATCAACAGGTGTTGGCTCTCATTGAGGAGATTGAAAAGCTAGATATGTCTAACTTAAATGGGAATGGTTTAAATTTAAGGTTAAACAAATAGCAATTGATATAGGCACATTTTTATCAGTGAGGAGAAAACAAAAACAAAGGGAACTGATTGGAGAAATAAACTCATTGGCAGTTAATGCACAAGAATCAACAGAAAATTCAGCAAAATTACAGTCACTGCAATCTCAACTAGATGAGTTGTATTCAGAAAAAGCAAATGGAGCAAGAGCGTGGTGGATTGAAAACGGAGAAAAAAGTGCATCATATTTTTTCGGCCTTGAAAAACAAAGAAAAAAATTAGTAATCTTAAGATTAATGAAATTATAACAGGCGATCAAAAAGTAATTCAAAATGAAATGTAGCTTTTCTTTTCTAACCTTTATAAATCCAGTTACAAAAATGCTGATTGTGAGTCTTTATTTGTGATTATAAGAGATAAAATACGTAAACTGAATGAGGAAGACAAATTCTTAATTGATGATGAGTTGACTTTAGAGGAAATGGATGTAGCTTTAAAACAAATGAATAATAGTAAATCACCAGGTATAGATGGATTAACTACTGAATTTTTACTGAACATTTTTGGAGAGATATTCAGAAATTATTATATAATGCATTTTTAGAATGCATTCAGGAAGGAAGCTTATCACCTACTATGAAAACAGGTTTAATAACCTTGCTACCTAAACCCAAAAAACAATTGCTATTATTAGATCATTGGAGACCAATAACTCTATTATGTACAGATTATAAATTACTTGCCCTGGTGTCTGCTAATCGTCTTAAACATGTACTTGGGAAACTTGTAGAGGAGTATCAATCAGCATTCATTAAGGGAAGATCTATTCCAAACCATATTAGACTAATCCTGAATATGATCGAATATCAATCATTGATACAATCAGAAAGCCTCATTTTATTTCTAGATTTTTTTAAAGCATTCGATATGGTGGAGCATGAATTTATATTTACGACGCTTAGAATGTCTGGGTTTGGGGAAGGGTTTTGCAAGGTTATTAAAATGTTGTATAACAACATTTATAGTTATATATCCCTTAATCCAGGTATGATTCCTAGAATTGAAATTTTGCGTGGAATTAGACCAGGATGTCCAGTCTCTCCAAAACTGTATATATTATGCACTCAAATGTTAGCTTATTTAGTTATCAACCATCCTCAATTAAAAGGAATAACCATTTCTGATTATGAATATCGAATTAGTCAATTTGCTGATGACTGTTACGGGGCTGACGAGACGTGAGACGTGCGGATCCATATGCAAGCTTTATTGAAACGAAGACAGAGACGTGGTCATGAAACAGGCATGGGTCAGATGAGGGCAAACAGGTATATGGTGGGCAAAACACAAGAATAGTCCTAGGGCTAGAGCAGGTCGACGATCGGCAGACAGAATCAAAAGGGGCAAGACAAAAGGGGTGAATCCAGGGAACCAGGCGAAGATCAGAAACCGAGAAGGCTAAGGCTAAGGCTAAGGCAAATGACTAGGGCTAAGGCTAAAGCTAAGGAGAAATGACAAGGGCTAAGGCTAAGGCTAAGGC